GCACAAAGGGCATATGCTAACCTGATTAACACTAACATTAGACCAACATTAGTGCAGCCTCCTTCAGAGAAACTCCCCCGGACCAGCTGCTGCCTCTCCCTCACTTCCCTCCATATGCACAAACCGGCATCTCGGGCCTCCCACGCTCTCCTTCTCCAATTCATCCTCTTTTGTACATGTGCATTTTTAACGGTTTACTTGACGGGAACGGTTCTAATTGACTGGACGGAGTTAAGGGGGAGAGAGGGAAACAAAGCTTCCAAAGCAAAATAAAATGTGGATGTTGCAGCATTTCCGTTGGTAGCGATTAAATATCATGTTCGTGGACGTCCCGTGTTTGCTTCAGCCTCAACGATCCCTCAGTCACCCATGAAATCACCGGGTCTTCCTCCTCCTCCCACGCTCCATTCCTCCAGTCGTTTAAGTCAATGCCTCCATGTGTCCGTCAGTCCCTCTCCGTCCCATCTGTCTCCTCCTCGTGCCAACCCATCTTCCCCCTGCTAGATGTGCTACTCCTCATCCAACCCATCTTCCCCTTGCGGCGCCTCTTTAAGTCTTATTTGCCTCGCCTCTGCTTTATTGCTTTGTCATGTTCTCTCGCCTTCTTCCCCCCCTTTTTCTCATAAACACACGTTCTCTCTTCCTGACTGGCTGCCTCGCCGCCACTCCCCCCTTTTGCCTGTTTCCCATTCCCCTCGTATTCTCTCCCTCGTTTGCTTGCCCGCTCACTCCTCTCTCCCGTTCCTCTCCCTCGGGTCCCCCTCTCGTCTTTATAAGCAGCTTTCTGCTGGGCTACAGCTTTTTCTTGTTGTGTGTGTGTGTGTGTGTCCCCAACGGTGTGCACACAGCGGGACAAGCCTGCCAGCGCATCCATTACACCCGCCGCTCAGAGGCAGAGAGAGGGCCGCACTCGTCAGGTGGAAGTGGCGGTGGTCGGTCACTGGGGCACAGCGGGAAAACTTCACCGGTAAACAAACATAAATATCAATATAACCACAAAAAGGGCCCGCGGACACTGTATTTCTACCACTGTTCATCCTAAAAGTGAGCTCACACATGAATCTGTGCGCATTCATTAGGACTGTGGGTGCAAAATCCATCGGGGGCTTTTGCCTATGGGCATGACGCATCCCGCACCGACCACCGACGTGTGTGTGTGTGTGTGTGTGTGTAGGCCATCTATCACCGTGACAGGCTGGTGCGTGTTTACTTAACGATGTGGGGGTTTATTTATGAAGTGATGGCCGACGTGTGGGAGGGAGAGAAAAAAGTAAGAGAGAGAGGGGGGGGGGGGGGGGGGGGGGGAGAGAGATTGAGACAGCCTGAGGATGTGACATTAAAATATCATCAAGGTGATGGATGTCCACACACACGCGACATTAGAGAGTCCAAAAAACAAAACAGCTGTGAAACGGATGACAAGTCCTATCTGGACTTGTGTGCGGGAGTCTGTGTGTGTTGTGTGTGTGTGTGTTTTATAATGACTTCGAGTGTGCAGTTGCGCGCGTGGTTTTTCTGTGACTTCGCTGTTCATTAAGGTGTCACATGTGCCGCCACTGTTGTTTACGATTCACGGGGTAATGAGTTGAAGATAAGATGCATGAGTTTGTGCGCGTGTGTGTGTGGCTCTGCTCTACCGTGCGCCTGTGTGTCTTTGTTACACTGTCCAAACAAGATTCCGGCTCGCTGTGGAGCCACACGCTACACGCATGGTCAGCTGGAATGCACACGGAGTACGTCTACATCGTAATAATAAACATGCCATGCAATTGGCACTGCAGCATACAAAGACACGTAATGTCTGAGAGGATGTGAATAAGTGATCAGTGCGTCATCTATGACCGCACATTATTGGACGTCCAATAATGACCACGAGGGGGCAAAGAGGCCAAAAGTGTGTTTTGTCAGTAAGTTACTGAAATATCGAGCTAAAAACTATATCAAGAGTTATTCCCGACTCCTGTTATGGAACAAAGAAGCCTATAAAAAGAATCTGCTCGTGCACTTTTGTGGCCCTAATTGGCCATCAAGGCATTACAGAGAGCCTATCATTAGCACATAGAGAAAAGTAGACAGAAAGAAGGGGACAGTGTGATTGTCATAATTACAAGTGTGACCTATCCACAGACAGGGAACATGGGGGACGGGTCAAATTAGAGACGGATAGATGGACAGGGAACATGAGAGGGAGAGAAAAGAGGAAGGGACATGAAGTGCTTTTTTTTGAAGACCAGATTTAGCTGCACACACACTTAAAATGTGACACACACACACGCACGCAGACAGACAACCCTACCTCCAGATCATGCAGATAGACGGCCCGCTGAGAGAATAAACAGAGACGTGAATAGATACGGCAACCACAAGTCTTTTATCCCTGCTTTTGTTTACGTCAGCTTAGGTTAGGGTGTTACCCACAATCCTCTGGCTCACGAGAGAGAATGGGAGACACGCGCGCACTTGTCCTCTCTTTCAAATCACACAAAAACCCACTCAGAGGGGGAGAATGGAGCTCCTGGCCTTGTGCGGAGAGCTCGGAAAGATTTTTTTCTTCTTTTCCTTGACTATTCAAGGCTACAGAAATGCATAAAAGAGCAGCTCCACGCTGGTGTTGATGGATGAGGAGGCCGGCAGCTAAAAGGCTGATCACACAAGGCCGAAGCGAGCGAGAGAGCATCGCACTCGAGTGGTCTGCGTTCACGCTATCGTCGTACCGCACGGAGAGAGGAACCAGGTAAACGTGCTAAATGTCTCATTCTAATCTAATACACATATTTCGTGTCTACCAACAACTTACCGGTCAGCTCTCTACGGGTCTGCACTACTCAGGGATTTTCATCCACAGTAGCAGGACTCGTATTTCCAGTTGCTCGAATTAAAATATTCTTTCAGTGTGATTTTTTTAGCCATCATGTAGCGTTTCAATACAACAGTCCATTATCACGTTTTCTCTCTTTTTTGTCCCCAACATTACTTCCCAGGTGTTTTACTGTTTCTATTCTCGCTACGTGTGTGTGTGTGTGTGTGTGTGTGGGGTGTTTCATTATCGGGCCCCTCGGGGGAGGAACCCACCGCTGGCTATTTCTTTTTTGGTGGGGTGAAAAATAACAAATCATATCGGAGGTGGTGTCTCGCGCGTGCTGCGCTTTAATTGCATCACAGTTTCCGTACCGACAGAGTTGCGGCCAACCGGCGGCAGAAACGTGCGCGGGGTGGCGGGGGATGTGCCTCGAGTTACCGACCGCTTCAGGCCTCAAAGAATAAAAACCTTGTCGCACGTCGGGTTGGGCAGAGCTTCTTCGCTCAATGAACGCCACGATGAGCGAGGAAGTGAGCGCAGCACGACACGCCAGGTGATTGGGTATCGGCGATGCTGTCAGTAAATCCATAGCATATTTCCCAGATGCCTCTGCTCCTCTCTTCGCTCACGGAATGAAAAAGAAATCCAGCTCGGGAGGAAATGTCTTCGCAAAATCGCTGCGGCCAGATTCAACGATTCCGATTGGGATCAAAGTGTGATTTTCTGCATGATTGGGCTTATTAAAAAAATAAATATATAAAATCCCATTTTCAAAATGGCTGATAAATGGCTATTGATTTCCATGGCGTGTTCGGGAGTGTACGGAGGTAAATGATACAATTCCTCAGGCCGGATCAATACAGGTTCAGGGACATTTAGCAGTGCTGCTTGGTTAGGAGAGGCGACCGCAGTGAGATTTCAAGCCGCTGTTGTTGTTACTGCCAAAACAAGAAAGAGAGGGACGAGGGAACGAGGGCAGCGACACCAGAGAGGAAACTTAGGAGGAGAGAGAGAGAGAAGGTTGTGGTACAGAGCTGACAGAAAGGGTGGAGGGAAATGTCACCGGTCTAATGGATCTCTCCATAAACTAAATGAGGAGGCGAGCGGGCGCTGCCTCGGTGGCACGCGCTCACCTCAAAATGTTAACAAGAGAGCTGAAAATAGCCTGAGAAAAGGCACCGGGGGGAAAAACAGGCGGGGCTCTGGAGAAAAACATATATGCCTCCATTTAACATTTCAATCTTTCAAACTAGTGTCCCGTGTCATGTGCTGTCACTCCGTGGCGTTTGGATGGATGATTAGGGCGAGGATCCATCGAGCTCCCACTGTAAGCTTATCTCCCGGCGTGCGCACTCACCCGGTGCGGGTCGTGCTCCAGGACTCTGCGGCGTTGGGCGTCGAGCTCGTCGTAGCCCGGAGCGGCTCGGGCCTGCTGGTGGTCGCGGCGCAGCCCCTGGAGACGCTGATCGCTGCGGAGAGACAGAGAGGGAGGTGTGAATAACGGCGGGTAGAGCAGAGATTTAGCTAGACAAGGGACTCATTGCCTCGCAGTCACGTTCCACGATAAACAGTTTAATTTTCTCCACAGCTGGGAATTAGAATGAGAAGAAAAGGCCAGGTGGAACATGATACATTCAGCTTCGCCCTTTCTTAAATCCACCTGTATTTACCCACCCTCGACAGCGCAGCGAGACTGACAGGCCCGGCAGACAGATAATATCCACAAAGCGCTGCCTCTGAGAAGACATCGGTGCCTGAACTGAACTTTCTACAGCTGACAGACAAAACCAAGGTGGGAAAAAACGGAATAAAAACATTTGATGGATGCGCCTTTTCACTCTGAAGTCGCATAGGCCGATGCAGCCAGCGCTCTACCTTGGATTGAACACCCAGACACGTTGGCGAGTCAACGAGAGCGTGACCTGAAAGGTGAAAAAACAATAAAATAAAGAGTTAAGAAAGAGATAAGAACCCAGGACAGAATGGGGACAAAACGTCATCATGCTCACTGGACCTTAATGCTAGATAAGCTACACACACCTAAGCGTACAGAGCCGTGCGCACACCAACAAAGGTTTCTGCACGCACACACACACACACACACACACACACACACACACACACACACACACACACACACACACACACACACACACACACACACACACACACAAACACACACACACACACACACACACACACACACACACACACACACACA